ATCATTTACTATAAAATCACGGTGCTCTCATTATGAGTAAGCCATCCCACCTCTGTGTATATCCCGCCAATTCTCCGAGAGCTAAAGCCAAATCTGTCAATCTTGTGAAACTATTGATGAGGTAGATGAAGTAGAACGCATTCTTAAGAGAAAACCACAGTAGCTAGCAATTTGAGCTTAAAAAATGGAACAAACATTACTGATTTGTTGAGCAAGAGTCGGTCCATCCATATCTTTGTAGCTGAGAAAAATGAATATAGGGAATATTTGGATCAGGTAGCTCAAAACTCCACCGTAATAATCGAAAAAGTTCTGCAGAACTGTAAAGACACAATCTGTAGAATGATTTAAAAGATCCAAAATTTTGTGTGAAATGTTCTTATGCCTACTTGAAAAGTTAAGTCATTCAATTAGGCATAAGATGGTATTTCAAAGAGACTGAGCTACGTACATTGTGCAGGATATTTCCATAAAGTTGCACCCAGTTGTCTCTTCAAAAGACGCTTGAAAAAGCGATTGCTTTCATACTCTTCAAATTCCGCTGCGTTATAAAAAGTTGATTCTTCCGCATTATTTCGTACACTAACATGTTTATACCTATAACGTACTCATATCGTTTGGTGTGATACTTCATCTATTCTTTTGCTTGAGGGCAACTGAGCTGTGGGCAGTGTTGGGCAGTGCACTTCTTTGTCTTCAAGTTGCCAAACCCAACCGGAAATCTCCTTCGCATCTCTCCACTCTCGCAGTCCATTTTGTAAGAGGAGAAACAATAATTCGATTAGCAATAACTCCAATAATAAAATATATATAGATAATAGCGACACCAAAACCTCCTGCTCTGAAAAATCAACTATGGTATTCCATAACTATAAGCAGTCGAACATAGGAGTATTTCGTTTCAGTGTAACGCTCTTCAATTCAGTTCGAATGAGATCTGATCAATGTATGGCAAAAGAAAGCTAATCCGAATGATATAAGCATTTCTTGTTTATCAAATATTAACCGCTTCTTTGGCTTCTGATATTTGTTCTAAGAAAACAGTCCAATTCTTAGCAGACTCTGCGTAAGCGAAATATTGCGAGGATAAAAGCACCCGTTCTGAATCATACTATGTATTTATATTCGGCCAACTTGAGAAAAAACATATTAGTGCTCGCTAATTCTGCTCTCTTAAACTCCACTCTCGATAGAGTTCCGCCTAGTCATTTTGCTAATCCAAATGAGAGAGCTTGCTCAATTGTCATTGGATGAAGTGGTACGGATGGGAACAGATAACATACAAGCCCCAACTCCAACGGTTCAAAGAAATCGTAGATTCTAAGCGAATTGGAAGCAATGCTTTCGAGGGGTTACTATCTACATGACGGGAGCCTAGGGCTGTGGACGTCTTTTCTGCTTCTACCATAATTTCTATATCATTTGGCTGAGATTGCTTGAATAGGGAGGAGAA